TATGGTCGTCGAAACATCCAAAGGTAACTCACTAATGAGAGAGGCCGCTCGGCATGCAAAGGACAGCTGTCCTGCTGCCGTGCGCACCACCTGGGGGGGGGGGGGGGGGGGGGGTGGGGAGGGTGGGCGCAGATTATAGTCCATGCGGATAGTTCGGCCACTGGTCCGCGCGTCAGCGTATGTTTGAAGTAAACAGGCAAGACCCTGCTGTTCACCTCGTTCACGGGCTTTGTGCGCAGTGAAAACAGCTTGTACGTCACACAGTCTGGCGGCAAATTTAACTACTTTTAGCAGTTTGGCCTTGTTAACAGCTGACCCCTGTCCCATAAACCGAAATGTAGTATCTCACGAACGAGATGACCAAACCCTGCACTATGGTCAGCAGCACTCATTGCGAGAGGAAGTGTCTCATATGGCGAAGACCCATAAGGACGCCGATGCGGCTTGTTACTACACCACTGGCGTGTGCGTCCCAGCTCAGGTGGCGGTCAAATAGCACACCTAGGTTTTTACGGCCAGGCTCTCCCGAACGGTCTCCCCACCGACCCGACACTGACAGGGGAAAGTCTGCGGGTGTTCTGTCGCGTGCCAAGGAGAAAGAGTTCGGTTTTGGATACGTTGATTTTGAGGCTGTGGGCATGGAACCACGATGCCAGGGAGGACAGGGTGGTCTCCATACGTTGAACGAGGGGGAAAGGTTGCGTTGAACATCGGATATGAGGATTTGGGTGTCATCAGCGTGCTGGGTCACATGAGCGTCCGGCGCGTACAGGCTGAGGTCGTTGGCGAAGATTGTGAATAAGAGAGGGCAAAGGCCTGATCCCTGGAATACTCCCATGGTATTGTGGAGGGGCTTGGAGACCACTCTGTCATCCGAAGAAGAAGAGATGCAGACTGACTGGGAATGACCAAAAATAGGGGAGGAGAACCAAGCCGGGTCGATGTTATAGAGCTGGAGCTTGGAAAGTAGCTGAGCATGAGGAATGACGTCGAAACATTTCCAGAGATCCAAGAGGTGCAGGTGTGAAAGATGGCCACGATCCATGTTGGAAAAGATACAGTCTGTCACGGCGAGCAGAGCAGTCTCAGCGGAGCAGAGCAGCAGAGCAGTCTCAGAATCTTTTTTAACCGTTCCTTTGCAACGCTACTAGCAGGGCCAAGTAAATTACAATTTAATCACCCATAATGACGATCGATCCGAGGTGCTGAAGAAGCATTCGCTGATATTGCAGCTCCAGCTGGCTGAAGTCCGTCTGGAGAGCAACCACGGCGCGGCGCGGGGGCCGGTAGACTGTAGCCACAGTGAAATGCGGACCGGACTCCGATCTCATACGCAGCCGGAGGGACATCAACTGACAGTCCGGACACTTAGATGCCGGCCGTGTGACGGCAGTGGCTTTGTAGCAGTCACGGCTCAAGATCGTCACACCTCCATAGCCGACCTCTCCCGGCCGGTCCGTACAGTACAGCGCAGAGCCGGGGACTGTGACCGGCCTGGACGCAGTGGCAGATCGAAGCCCCGTCTCGGTGATCACGCAAAAGCCGTAATGGAGCTGGTTTGGATGGTCATGGTGCAGTGAAACTATCTTCGGCAGCAGGGACTGGCTCTTGAAGAGTCCCACCAGCAGGTTCCGACGACGACCGTCCGGAGAAGAGAGCCGCAGCACCTGACCGCCCCTGACTTGACTGACCTTTTTACTTTGACCAGGTTTTACCCTATTTGATAGGGGGGTCATGGCCTATGGACCCCAAATATTGGCACCAGTGAGGTTACATGCCAGCCAATTTGCCTTCTTAATTTCGTTTCTTTATCTAATTAGGATTTGAGACCTCAGGGAGGATCGAATTGACCCCCACCAAAGCGGAAGGTATTCAGCCGTCCACCCGGGCGAATGTTCACATTTAAATTTTCCAAAAGAGATGCAATCGCTCGTTAAATTCTCACACTAAACAGGTTTATGGTCTGGCAGTGGCAATGACCAGACATACTCAAAGAACCATATGCGGTCCATTCGCCTTCAAAATCCTTGATCCGTTCTGGCATGCTTCCCGAAAGCCATATGCCTTGAGTGTCGATATTGTAGTGTTTGTAATTTTGCCAAGTTACGTAAACAAGACTTTAAGAAGCAAGATTAAGTTTCAGAACGACCTGAAATACAGGTTAAAAAATCCCCATGGAGCATTATGACGCCCTCGCACGAGTAAAAGTCGAGGTAATGTAGCTGCAAATGACGTACCACCAAAGACACAGCACCATTATTCCAGTGACAGTCGTCCCACGAGCCCTCCGGCACGATGAGCCACTGCTTTAAATCTAACCACTGCAAGCGAAGTGCCCGAATTAAATTATTAACTCCGCGATATTGCCTGCCTCCAAAGCGGCTCGTCCCACCGGAGCCGTGAGGTCTGCCTGTTGCTGGAGCTGCAGTGACTGGCTTCATCCACGAGTCGAGCCTGCGGGCTACGGCGGCTGCCGGCGTGAGCCATTGCCGAGCCGCGGCTGAGGCGGCTCTCAGCGTGAGCCGGTGCCGAGCCGCGGCTGCGGGGGCTCTCAGCGTGAGCCGGTGCCGAGCCGCGGCTGCGGCGGCTGCCGGCGTGAGCCGGTGCCGAGCCGCGGCTGCGGCGGCTGCCGGCGTGAACCGGTGCCGGGCCGCGGCTGAGGCGGCTGCCGGTGTGAGCCGGTGCCGAGCCGCGGCTGCGGCGGCTGCCGGTGTGAGCCGGTGCCGAGCCGCGGCTGCGGCGGCTGCCGGCGTGAGCCGGTGCCGAGCCGCGGCTGAGGCGGCTCTCAGCGTGAGCCGGTGCTGAGCCGCGGCTGAGACGGCTCTCAGCGTGAGCCGGTGCCGAGCCGCGGCTGCAGGGGCTCTCAGCGTGAGCCGGTGCCGAGCCGCGGCTGAGGCGGCTCTCAGCGTGAGCCGGTGCCGAGCCGCGGCTGCAGGGACTCGCACTCCGAACGACGGCCGTTCATTTCACCGATAAGCTCGCGGTCAGCTCGGTCACGCCCTTATGGTTCGGGCCGGGCTTCGACTGGATATACAGCTTCTTGAAACATGCTGCCGTCCATTGGGGTCTGTCCAGCGCAGGCTTAAGGCCGAAGTAGGCGTCATAGATAATTTGTATTAAGGTCTGAGGCAAAATGATCTTGTGATCCATCACCTCACTACCTTCACTCTTCTCTCCCCCACCCTTCGCTCCCTCTTTTTCTCTTCCTCTGTGTCTTTGTCTACCTGCCTGCAGTTGGTGTTTAGGCTGTCATTCTGATTTTGGCTTTACTCTCATATATACCTTGACATTCGTAACATGAATAAGCATATGATGAAAGTAAAATACCTGGAGCAAGGCCTTTTACTCTCATTGCCACCGTCAACCAAAGAGTATAACACGAAACACAGCTACGTAAATCGATGGGAGTACGGCGCATTTCCCACATGAAAACATACGAATCTATTCACACAATGCTTTGGTTAAATGTGATTCGTGCCCGGTATCGTAACCATGGCAACATCTTCAACCGGTGTCATCACATATACTAGACTATTTTGTGCTTCCCCGCTGCCCTCTTTGCCCGCCGACAAGACACTCTGGAGTGTTTTGGATCGTAGTTTTGTGGAGCATAGTACCAGCTCGATGCTGCACCGATCGTCCCTGTATGGTACTGTACCGTGTTCTCACCGTCTCTGAGCGGTACCGTACGGTCGTCTGACCGGCCCTGCGCAGTACTGTACTGTCGTCTGACCGTCCCCGTGCAGTACTGTACGGTCGTCTGACCGTTCCCTTGCGTACGGTTACGTCGTTGACCGTCATGTGCAGTACTGTACCGTCGTTCTGACCGTCCTGTGGAGTACTGTACCGTCGTCTTACCGCCGTGGAGTAGTTACTTACCGTCGTTTCTGACCGTCCTGTGCAGTACTGTACCGTCGTTGACCGCCTGTGCAGTACGTGCAGCGTGCAGTACTGTACCGTCGTCTGACCGTCCTGTGCAGTACTGTACTGTTCTGACCGTCCCGTGCAGTACTGTACCGTCGTCTGACCGTCCCTGTGCAGTACTGTACTGTCGTCTGACCGTCCTGTGCAGTACTGTACGGTCGTCTGACCGTCCTGTGCAGTACTGTATCGTCGTCTGACCGTCCTGTGCAGTACTGTACCGTCGTCTGACCGTCCTGTGGAGTACTGTACCGTCGTCTGACCGTCCTGTGGAGTACTGTACCGTCGTCTGACCGTCCTGTGCAGTACTGTATGTCGTCTGACCGTCCTGTGCAGTACTGTACCGTCGTCTGACCGTCCTGTGCAGTACTGTACCGTCGTCTGACCGGCCCTGCGCGGTATCGTATCGTGGTCTGACGGTCCCAGCACACTGCTGTACCGCGCGCTGACCGCTCTCTGCCGGCAGGGTACGCCACGTCGTCGCTGGTCGCGCTGCTGCTGGCCGTGCCGTTCTGCCTGCGGATCCTGTTGCACGGCGAGACGCGCTCCTGGTCGCAGTACGGCGTCGCCGTCTATTTCGCCCGACTCGAGCTCTACCTGGGAAACGGCTTCATCGGTGAGACGCCGTCAGGTTGGGGTCGTGCAGGGGTGACCCGTGTCTGCGTCGCCCGTCACGTTTGGGGAGATTATCACGCGTCTAATCCAGAGCGCTCACGGTGCTGTCCGTCCCAGGTCAGGAAGGGGTACGTCATGTTTTGCCTCGGTTGAGCTACACTGCTCTGCTCCGGGTGAGGACAAAAGGGTGACCTCGTATTCTGCTCGAGGTTTTGGTAGGGAGTTGGGGACCTGTTCTCCCGTCCCGTGCTAGGACGTTGGAGGTGATCTCGCGCTCTTCTGTATGCCCCAGTCATGCCTTAACACGCGCCCGGTTCAACGCCCTTCGCTCGGGTGGGGGTCGAATTTGCCCGGCTCCCTAATACCTCGAAAACTAGACACCAAATTCACAGGGTGGGCTAGCCTGTATGTAAGCTCACTTTTTTAAAATTTGGAGTTTCCACTTTATGAACTTGGTGACCCAAATAAGGTAAAACAGGATCAAACCTTAGATCTGTGTCCAAAGTGCCCCCAAACCTCCTCACGCAACCGTCATGAACCTAGATACCTGTTCTTAGCAAAAGTTAAATGGTGTTCATTTATGTTTATTTATGTTCAGTTATGTTCAGCGACCTTGTTTGACCCTTGAGGACCAAGTGACATAAAACTACGAAATTTCTGTCATATTTTCATTCGAATAAGCGTCAGCGATTACGCCAGGCGGTATTTTCTTTAAAACAAAATGCTGATCTGGGTCATTTCAGGTCAGTGACCTAGTCTAACCTTTAAAAAATCCATGACAAATGTCTGCTGCGCCCCTGTCATTAACAAATTTGAAATAAACAACAAGACTACCCCATAAAGCAAGTAATTAAGTGACGTAACAGGTGAGTTTTGGCATTTATACCTGACTCTAGGTGAATGGATCTTGTTGTAATTGTAAATTCAGTAGCGTTATTGGCTAAGCAATTATTTCAGGGATGCACGGCTTCGTCTAACACTCCGTTGTCGCGCCAGATTGAACGATTCTCTGGAAACTGGATTCGCTGACAGCCATGGCTTGACTTTGACCTGTCATACGTCAGTGACCTTAGACGGTAAATATTAATTTGTATACCCAAAGATTCGGTTTTTGATTTCATACAGTTCTGCTAAGCTTGGTACCAGAAATAATTCGGGAAAACCTCCTGGGGGTCAAACTGAACCCCACCCGAGCGCGTGTCGTTGTGCAGATATCGTTGTCATTATTTTTGTGGTCACTTAAAACGTCGTGCCCGTGTGTCCTGAATCATTCCCAAGGCACCAAACTTTCCTCTAAAAAAGCAGTGAAAGGCGCTGTCGCATGAGGGATGACGACCACTGATTGCTGTTGAGTGTTGGCTGATATCGGTTAGTGCTACAACCTAGGCGGACTCGGGAGCTACCATTTGTCAGGATCGTGATACACAATACATCAAATCTCCGAAGGGACACGTCAGAACGTTAAGATAAATGAGCTGGCAGAAAGCCTCTTTGGATTGGGTTATTTCGAGATTAGCACATTAAGAGCATCCTCACTTGATCGAGCATACAGTGTTGGCAGGTTATCAGTTCTTGTGACCACTTCAGTGAGATAAGTTGCGCCTTGTCTTCAGGACGTGTTTTGTTTATGATTAGGCATAACAAAGAAGCTTTAAGCAATGCTTTCACTCTTTTGCGTGGTTTTCGGATGAGAAGGCTAACTTGCGGCCCACGAAAACGAGATGTTCACACCCATAACTTTATCGGGGTAAAAACCTCTCTACGTCTTGTGCTTGAATGCGATTAAGTAAGGTGTTACATAATAATCCCGACCCTACCATGTGGCCGGAACGTATCACATGACACTTCTCGAGTCGCGGAATGGCAACACCAGTAGCCATGGCTTGTAGCCAGCCCCCGGTGCCGGCCGGTGATTGGTTGGATGTGGGCCATCGCGTGCAGTTTGCCGCAACGGACCAGAGTATATTATTTCGCGGAATTGCGATAATTTAAGCACTTCTGGCCACATCCAATTGCGAAGCCGCGTAGGCCGTAGGCTGGTTAAGTGTGTGTTCCTCTTTTCTGATGACTTTTAAAAGAGAAACACTACAATGGGCTTACATTCGGTATAACTGCCCAATGGTATCTACCGTGTGGCCTCTTACCACCTGTTTGGTGCACTTACCACCTATTTGCAATATTTGCATTGCACAAGTGTCATGGACATTGCTCGTCGTTCCGCCCGCGCCCGAGCCTTAGCCCTGTCCTTACGCCCACGCACTCCGAGTCACGCACGCACTCCAAGCCACGCACGCAGCCCGGCCTGCCCTCATACTCCGATCCGTTCACGCAATCCAGAACACCCACGCACTCTGAGCCACCTACATACTCCAGGCTGCTCTCGCATTACGAGCTGCCCACGCACTCCGAGCTATCCACGCACCCCGGGCCACCCACGCACTCCGATCCACCCACGCCATCCGGAACACTCTCACGCACTCTGAGCCACGCACATACTCCAGGCTACTCTCGCATTACGAGCTGCCCACGCACCCCAAGCCATCCACGCACCCCGGGCCTACACGCGCTCTAATCCACCACCGATCACGCGCGAGAGCGCTCTAAAGCCGCCCGTCCGCGCCGCTTCATTGTGGCCATCCAATGGCGGGCGTAACGGGCGAGAACGGCGTGAACTGAGGTGGCGGCGCGGCGCGGACCGCCGGGCGTCCGGCGAAAACTGGGCCGTGCCCACCGCATGCCGATCAGCCGGCGCCGCCAGCCGGGCTGTCAACGACACGAGCGGCGCTCCATTGAGCCGCGTCGCCGCCCGATGTGGCCCCGACGGGCGGGCGGCGCGGCCGCGCCACACGCACACGTCTGACCCAGATTCGACGACGGCTTTGATCGGCGGGCAAGTCGCGGGCGCGGCCACACTCTCGAACCATGGCCGCGGACGAGGGCGGCCCGCTGTCGACAGTCGGAAATGGCCGGTGGAAGAAGTGTCCCCGCCGCTCGAAATGTGAGACAGGCGGACGCCTCGGGCGCCCGGCCGCGCCCTCCGTGGCCGCTCCTCAGCTCGCCGGCAGCTTTTTTGATCGACAAACACCGGAGGGCGTGTTCGGTTTCAGGGCGGATCAGGATATTCTTGGAAACAGTCGGATTGAACCATGGCGCTGGTTAAGATAAAAGCGCCGGCTCGTAGTTCACCCCATCCGCCAAGGTATATTTGCGGTTGTATCAGGATTCCCGCCCGACCGGACAGGTGACCCGTAAATAAAGCTTCGCGGATGAGGTGAGTCACGAACTCGCCGCACTCATCCAACTGACACGAAGGTGCACTTCGAGGACACCTGCCGCATTTTCGCAGCGTCCGAAAAACCATCGGACTGTTGCACTATCCGCCCGGATTAGTCAGCTAGTTTAGACGCACTCCACGTGATGCGGCTCGTGGTAGATGTAAGAATTCTATCACCCCTCCCCTTCGTCCGTCTCCCCTCCCCAGACCTCAGTTCGGAACTGATGGGAGCTGGCGCACGAGTTGCCATGCACTTTGGCAACCAGGGAAGGAACGATAAATCATGTTCCGCCATTATCGTCTACCTAGACCACGCTTTTAGTTGGAACGGATGACGGGGTATTTTTGCGAGAAGGCATATTGATGAATTCGAGCTATATTGAATCTCCTCTTTTTTTTTGGTTTCCATAAACAGGTTAATCTCTTTTCTATTGCTGAAAATGTTTCCCAAACTTGCAACGATTTCGATGTCAACTGACATACGTTACGGTAGAGTGCGATTCCTCCCAATCACCTTCCCCTTTTGAGAATTGTCCTAATTTTTGAGTTCTTAATTCCTACTATCAGTTATGTGTGAATCCGCGTTTTGCGTCTGCGTTTGTATTTGTGTTTGACATCAGCGTAAATACGTGTCTATTACGTGTCAGCTGTCAGAGGAATAAAACGATAAGTAAAAACAACGAACAGCGATAATGAATACAAAACATATAAACGCGCGCCTACATGATCGGCATAAGACGGCCCCATTGCAAAAAACTGGCTGGGCAGAACGTTAAAACTTGAGAGTTATCATTTATTTTATTCCCTATTTCATAATTGTTCATAGTACTTTTAAAAAAGCCGGTCATTGGTCTGGCCTGCGTTCCTGACCACTTGAACTTTGTCCTTCATCCGTAATCCACGTCGCCTCCGCGGTCACTTGCAATTGCCTGGTTTTGTTGGGCAGCTATCTCTCTCCGCCTGTCTCTACAGTACAGAAAGACCTGGATACTCATTTCCAGCGCAGATAGACAACGCTCCTGCTGGGCACCCCGTCCTGGGCCCGCCTTCCTCTCTCGGACCAGCGATCGAGCTGCGAGTGAGCGCATCTGTGAGGGCCTCCCCGCTGTGGAGAGACCCGGGGGAGACGGAAGAGGGGGGGGGGGGGGCGTGGCCCGGCCAGAATCGATGCCCGCCCGGCTAATGCTATTGATAACCGACCCGAGGTTACACACCCTGCCAAACGGCGCCAAGCAAAAACCTCCATCGCCCGACAAAGAAAAACACGGCTAACGATGCGCCGGCGGACGGACAGGACCAACAAGTGGCGGACTTTTTGCGCGCCAGCCGATGATGCTTCACTGGGAGGACGTGTAACGATACGTTACGAGCAGACAATGCTGAGACGTGACGGGCCGTGACGGTGTAGCGTGGTCTGCCGTGTTTTTGCGGGCGTGTGGGGCGCGGCTCACAGCTGGCGGGGCACTCAGCGCTCTGACACCGACGCTGTAGAGCCCGCACCAAGCGCGCCACTCGGCCGGCACCGACCTGGAGGCCGTGACAAGGCCTGAACCGGCCGCATTAGTGAGCTGGCAGTTATAGACGTAGGACGGCTCCAGCAGGTGGGGAGGGAGACGGCAGCTTTGGAGAGGAATCTTGCCGTACGTCGCGATAGGGTTAATGCTGAATGTTCCCAGAAATAGGAGAGATATGGCCGCCTGCCTCCTCCCTTCTGTTCGTACACGCTTGGTTTGGCAGCCTTCCACGCCTGGATGATGCTACATCTCGAGCGATGCGTCGGTGCGACGAACATGTGTTCAGCCACGCAGCGATGCTGTACGGTGCAGATGGGGAAGGGAAGAAGGAGCGGTTGGACTTAGAGCGCGGCAAACAACTTCCTTGGCTGCACCTTAGCACTGGGGTACTGGGTAATTAGCACTGCTGCACGGGGCATAACCTTGAGAATGAAATAACCAAAGCGGTTATGGTACACACACACACACACACACACACACACACACACACACACAACACACACACACACACACACACACACACACACACACACACACACACACACACACACACACACACACACACACACACACACACACACACACAACACACACACACACACACACATACACACACACACACACACACACACACACATACACACACACACACATACACACACGGTTTGAAAACATGAGACGATAAGCTGAGCGTAAGGAAATGAAACAAAGCGATCGATGTTCTCACTGTTGTTATGCCAATGCAAGACCCGCTCCTTATCGCTTAACATGCAGTAACTCATGCTGGGAATGACCACCCGTCCCGTTACTTCAAATGGGTAGAGTGCCTGTCTTCAGACCCGCTCGCCCGTGGCGGAGTGGGTTCGGGTCGCTTCAGGCTCTCGCTATTTCCGCCCGGCTGGCGTGGCCCGCGGTTGGTGGCAGCGGCCGCGCTAAAAGGCTCGGTGACGTGGAGGGCAGGACGAGCCGTGCCGAGAATAACGGCACGTTAAACTTTTGCCATAAAATTCCGCCGTTGACCTGGAATTTTATGACCGGATGACGCAGTCGATGCTGACGCGACGGGCACCGTTTAAGGTGGGTTCTGATCCTAGCAATCCATCCCGGCAAAAGGTTCGGCGTAAATCCTGAGCATTTTTCCGGGCAGGGTGGAGGAGGGCGGGCAAAGTCCGTCTCATCCGCCTCTGGTTCCCAGCTGGTTCCTCCGCAACCGTTTGGCGCAAATCGCTAACATTTATCAACCTTCCCTTAACATCTGTCGACGCATTGTGCTAACATTTCGCGTGCACGACACGTGCGGGGCCCCATTTGGCGATCTTGCCGAGGTGGTGATCTTTCCATGCCATGACAGCGGCTGAGACTGACAAGTCTTGCGCTACCTGCTCACGTCAGCTGCTGCAGCCGTCAGCCGGGCGCTAGCCGCCGTCGAGGAAAGGGTGACAGGACCGGCATTCTACCACTGTAGAATGCCAGTCCGCTGTCTACAGTCTACCACTGTAGCCTTGGATCGGGGACGACACCAGTGACGTGATATCGCAATCTACGTGCTTAAAGACCTGTACAAAAGCATACTCATGACAATCAGCGATTGCCTCCCGCCATATTTAACACGTTTGGTGTTTGACGAGGCTGCTGGTTACGGCCTGAACGGCGGGGGGGGGGGAAGACGATCGCGCGGCGTGGTCGTCCTGGAATGGGGGCGGTGGACTGTCACCTACCATTACCAAATATTGCTATCCCAGAATTACGTTGCGCTTAATTTCATGGTAAACTGATCACAAGCATATGCTAATGACTACATGTGATTACTTTAGCTTGTGGACCAGAATTAGTCAGACTGTCGTGACCAAGAGTGGATTTCAGGCGCTTGTGCGGCAGCACGGCTCTGATAAGGTAGCCGCCTATCCGATATCCGGTAAATGAGATCCGGGAGAAATCACTGTCAAGCGACCAGTTGATAGCGCAACTTGAGGATATCGCGCTCGTGCAGATCGTGATAGCCGCCCTGTATTCCTGGAAACCTGGTCTCCTACTGTCCCATTCCACCGAGCCCGAATAGAATGGCATTGAAGGCCGCCCGGCATTACACGCCAACGCCTCGACCGATTCGTCCCATGACAACGCTTGGCCTGCCCCACCAGTGCGCTTTGGGAAGCTCCGTCACAGACAAGAGGTCTCAGTCCTAGAACAATGGCCAGACAGCGAGTACCTTAGCAAGTCGAGTGGAATTTGCATTCAATTTAGGTCAAGGCCGGGTCCGGGAAGCCTCCGAGCATCTGTAGCCATCCGTATCATTGTTGGCTGTCTGCTATCTACCTATGACTGCCTGTATTTCCAGCGCGTCGCCAGTCACTATCTACCCGATAGCGGAGCTCATGTGTTCAGACCAGGAGCGGCGCATGGGGGGGGGGGGGGGGGCGGCAGAGATTAGAGAGAGCAGCTGCTCCCAAGCGCTGGACAAATCTAACGTCGACTCTTTTGCATTGCAAGGAAATAGTCTACTTGAAAAACATGTTCAACATTAAAAAATATTAGGAAAAGCGTCATACAAAAGCAACACACACAAAACATTAAGGATATCAGCATGCATCACCTACATGCATCATCAACCCTATCTGCAGATATGATACAAAAAACTCATTTGTGCCTAGTGGAAATGCCAAAAGACTGGCATAAACAACACCTTATAACTATTTAGCATCTATACCTCTCATTGGGTTGTCGGTTGATTGAGCCATTGAGCGCTTTAATGACGTCAGAGTCGTTACCAGATTGGCCGTGTCAGAATTATCAGCTTAGCAGGCAGATTAACATATTTGCAGTACTTCAACTCGCCGCTAGATGGCTTGCTGATTTATGCGTGTGAACTTAGCCACCATCGTTATGTGCGCGTGTTTTGACCCTTTCTCGTGGTGTTCTCAGCGAAAGGCCGCTCTAGACAAACACAAATTCTCTTTTAGTAAATATGCTCCTCAATGCGTTATTGTTTGATTGCGTCATGGAACGTTTGTATGTCAGAGGTAGTGTCAAGCTGGCCGTGCGAAATTGCAACCCTAGCACTCACTTGTGGTCCTTGAACTCGGCGAGATATGGCAGTAGCGGTGCTGGACGTGTTCGCTGAAGCAAATATCATGATGCTCTCGTGTTTTGGCCCTTTCTCGTGGCGTTCTTGCCTTTTTGTCTGCAAAATTAACTTGTCTACTTGTATTCACGTTCTCGGTTATGGCGCTATTCCCGGGTTATTCGATTACAAGTTTATTTCCGTCATATTTAGTACCGTGTCCGGCCTCACGTATTAAACAGCACAAACGTTATTCGTGTTTGGATCTTGCACTGCCTGCAAAACACATATCGAGAGCCAATCGAGATCGAGAAGCCCGTAATATCTATAAGCTGTGCTCGCGAACGCCAGACATGAACGACTTCACGATGATGTTCTTCTTGGTCTTAAACGCCACATGGACAATGGGTAGCACAATTTGAATAACGTTTCTATGGCATCATGCATGCCTGAATGACTTTGGAATAGTCTGCACGAACAAATCTGCACTTCTTTGCGGGCGTGTAGCTGAAAGCCTACGGAGTTTTGGGTCTTAAGAACGGCGCAGTGTGCTGCACCGAATAATCTGCAAGACGGCTATTTCAGTCAAAAAACACAATTGGAGCATTTCTCTTAAGCTCGATTTTCTGCCTTATTTCCGTCATAACTAATGTCACCGCCCAAATTCCTGTATTGTGTATCACAAAACATGATTCGTGTTCGGAACGTGCATTTAATGCGTTCGACTGATTGAAAAGCAATTGATGTCCGTTGCTGAGACAATTTATGCTGACGTGCACCAGACACGAGTAAGTTAACGGTCATATTATTCTTGACCTTGAAACACGGTATGACCATTGAAAACGTAGAATTCGTGTGACGTTTCTACGGCGTCCTACAACACCGGATGCCCTCGAAGTAGGCGACACGAAAAAGTCTGCACAAGTTCGCATGCGCATAGCTCGGAAGTGAGAATATGTGAACTCTTAAAAAGAATATAACTTTGAACTTCAAGAAAAGATCCTAAAAATGACTATCTCAGTTAAGGCTCCATAAAAATGTCAAACAATACGTTTAAAGAATAATTTGTCTTCACGCTCCCCTCAAACGCCTATGAGATTCCGCCGTTTCTGGCTCGGGCCCCGTTTGTACCGCTCCTTTGTATGCGCTCCGCTGTACTACCGTTGGTGGCTCTGATGGCGTCCCTCTGCACATGTCGGCGGGCCTTCCAGAGCTGGTGGCGATATCCTGACAGTGTCTGTGCTTCGACAGGCCTGTCCGTGCTGATGCTGGTGGCGCTGACAACAGAGCGATACATCAGTGTGTGTCACCCGGTCCGCGCTCACAACCAGACCAACGAGGGCCGGCGGGCGCGGCTCACCCTGGCCCTGCTGCCCGTCTGCACCTTCATCATCTTCTCCCCCTACACGCTCCGTAACAGCGTCACCGCCTGCCTCGCCAGCGACAACAGCACCACCTACCGCATCGCCGAGAATCTGGCCTTCACCCAGTCCGTCTACTACCTCGTCTACAAGTGGACGCTCAAGATTCTGTACAAGATCGCACCGACAGTGGCCGTCACCTACCTGAACCTGCAGATCTACTGGTCGTACCGGCGCGTGTGTCGGAAGCGGCGGGCGCTGGTCCAGCTGTCCCGCGAGCAGCGTGCGCAGCAGACAGACGAGCACCGGCTCATGATGCTGCTCGGCTCCACGGCCACGCTGTTCTTCTTCTGCAACCTGCCTATGGTCATCCTGAGCGTGTCCTTCACGCAAGCCATGATCCGGTCGTACTCGTTCCAGGTGTTCCGCGCCGTCTCCAACGTGCTCGAGATCGTGAACTATTCGCTTACTTTCTACATCTACTGCCTGTTCACCAAGGAGTTCCGCGACACGTTCTTCAAGACGATCGGCCTGCGCGAGCACAGCAGCGTCCTGCCACCCTCCAAGAGCTCCAAGACGGACGTCTGACGTCGGAGCAGCGCCGCCGGCGCCGACACGGCGCTCTAGGGCGTGTGGGGGAGCTCGCGGAAGGACCGGGATAGGTGGGGGGGGGGGGGGGGGGGACGGGGGGACGGGGGCTGCTCCGCCAGGTCGGCGGTCGTGCACGGCGCCTGAACACCGCGGTCGCGGCGGAGTCACGCACAACCGCCACGGTTTGCGGCCAGTCAGCACGTGCGTGGACTGACTTCGATCTGTTCTGAGAACACTGCAGACTCGGAACAAGAATATCCAAGAGAATATGTTGGATGGATGATGGTGCTGTTCGTGGTTCGTTTCCGGTTGCGTGTTTAGACGATGAACGACCCGGTGACGGGCGCTACTCGGAGCTGGTGCCTGCCGCCTGTTGGTGTTGGGAGGGGTCCATGCCCATATTGCTCATTGTCTTTCCTGTCCCATACGGCCGACAAAATCAGAAGGGATTAGCTTAACAATATCATCGTTGATCGAAGGCATCGCTGGTTTTTATAATACTCTAAAACTCGTATAACTGTCACGCCTAAATAGCTACTCGTAAAGCTTGTACTGTGCTCGAGTCGCGCTGTTTCAAATGCTTCACAACTTCCTGAAGCACGCCGATCTATGCGTTCCTCACACTCCTGTTTATTGCTTCTGAAGCCAGCTGAGTTGAAGGTTGTTCAGTGTTGAGTACAGTGTTCTTTGTGTAAATATTTACTTGTTTCAATGTTGCAAAACCTGAGTTAAATGCTCTTGACGCCAGCTCCAGTGCACGGCAACCACAACCGAGCATTAGCGATAACAAAGCGTTAACAACTTCTAGGCCTGCTCGTCTATCGCCTCACCATAAAAAGGTCGGCCATCCTGTGACGTCACAGCATTGACGTCGCGTCGGCCGGCTTCTGGAGCGCGGGCGGTGACGTCGGCGGGGCGGCGGGCGGCAGGCCTCCGGTGGTCTCACCTCCGGGGCCGCCCCCTCGTCCAGGCGCGATACACGGCGCCGGTGAGCCGTGTGATGGGGCGCTGATCGGCGCATCACGACCAGATCCGCCCGCATGTCAGCACCGCTGGCCAGCCGGACTCCGCCGCGACAGACGGCCAGCCAGGCTCCGCTGAGGGCCACCGGCCAGCCAGGCTCCGTCTGGACAGCCGGCCAGCCAGGCTACGCCGGGGACCACCGGCCAGCCAGGCTCCGCTGTACTGACGGGGACCACCGGCCAGCCAGGCTCCGGTGGGGACCGCCGACCAGCCATCGTCCCATCGGACAGCCGGCTAACCAGGCTCCGTAGGGACAGCCGACCAGCCAGGCTCCACTGTACCGACGGGGACCGCCGGCCAGCCAGGCTCCGCTGAGGGCCGCCGGCCAGCCATCGTCCCATCGCACAGCCGGCTGACCAGGCTCCGTAGGGACAGCCGACCAGCCAGGCTCCGCCGGGCCAGCCGGCCAGCCACGTCCGCTGCACTGACGAGGAGAGCCGGCCTACCAGGCCTCACCACACCGTCATTACGTTGTCCGGGCGCCGGTCCTCACGGGCCGCAGCCGGCGTTACGATGTACTTTGGCGGCAGCGTGGCATCATGTTCTGTGTTAGCTGTGTGCGCTGCACGCCATGTGAGCGTCGGGCGATCCGGTCTTCGCAGGATGCACGGGCGTGTTTGGGTCGTGCGTCTGGATGACGGGAACGGAACGCAGTCGTATACTTGAGGGTTGTTCGCATTGCAGTTGAAACCCCCCACGCAGTCTGGCTAGCCTGAAGGCGACCCACTGTTGTGATTCATTTCAAGGCATGGGATCGGTGTGATCATTGTTGGCCCTTCCGTTGATGTGCCGTCAACAAGTCCTGGCCGTCCGTTGGTAGTGTAGAGCTGTCTTAGGCTAGTTATGAAATGTCTGTTCGGTGGCGAATGTTGAATGCCACTCACTTTACTCGCAGACTCGCTGATAAAAAAATCTACCAGCTAACATCGCTTGCACTATCACATGTGGTCCACCCTCAGAGATCTCATAAGGTGATGATAGTGATGATGTGGGCTTTAGGGAGCGGCGACGATAGTGATCATATGGCGCCCATTCTTTACTCAATTTCTTTACTCAAATTTTTTACTCTTTATTCAATAGATGAGTGATAGTAGTAAGGAGACAAGGTTACGTAACACAAATAGCACGGAGTGGTACTGCATTTGATCATTAAGATTACCTGCATCCTTATGGCAAATATCTTCCCTGAGCCATCGCGCATTCGCGAACGAAGACGCATTTTACCAAGCCTGATTGGCTATAACGAACATTATTAATAGCTACTCGCGTTGTCCCAGCAGCTCCAGGCTAAACGACTGTTCTCAATAGCCCAAGACGTCAGAACATCGGGACACACCGAAGCGCGTACCATATATCGCGGCGGCGGTGAACTGAAGCATCGCCAGAGGGCACAGCCCAATTGTACGTTACAATCTGAAAAGTCGTGGCGCATCGCGCAGGTGACCATCAGTTTGCTTTGCTGCCAGCTAGCCGGTTTGAAAAACAGCCAGAGTTTATCAACCTGTCTGGGGCACTGCGATGCGGTCTGTTGTTGTGTCATCCCACCAATACGCTGCGGATGGTCAGCTGTTGTACGGTATGAAAGTGGCGCTGCGGCAAGGTGACTGGGTGACTACGATCGGTGACTGGGTGTAAGATCTGCTCTCTCTGGTGACGGCTGTCGGCCCCTCTTGAAGGTATTGACCAATATGCGACTGTGACTGACTGCTGGCTGGATGTAAGATCTGTTCTCTCTGGTGACTGCTGTCGGCTCCTCTACATTCAGCCGATGTATGTTTTTATGAAGTTTCTGAGTGGTACTTGTCGAGACTGCGGTTCTCAAACGTTTGCGCGTATCTACCAACTGCGCAGGAGAGCATATTGGATGATGCTATTCCAGAACTTTACAATAAAAGAGTGTCATGTTTCATATTATTCATGCAAGCAGAGGATCTACCGTTCTCACACCGCCAACGTTGTTCGCACAACAGTCACCATCAATGTCGGTCTGAATAGCGACCCCCGGCCAGCAGGGCCGGCCACGTGCAACCGAGCAACCGCCGTCGCCTGAACGTTCTCACCAGCGGCCGCGCCTCTTTACACCAGCTGCGCGCCCGGCGCTAGCCGCTGCCTCACAGGCGCGCGAGCCGGCGCGGCGCGCCACACAGCCACACCTCTCTACATCAGCCACGCGCACCGCGCTGCCTCATAGGCGCGCGAGCCGGCGCGGCGCACCACAAGGCCGCGCCTCTCGCGGTTCCCGCAGCTTGCAATAGGCCACAGAGTAAGCACCGGTGAGGTTATTGGACGGCGGCGCGGATCCCAAACAGCGCCAGCCATAGCGCACTGATTAGCCGACTCGTAATTGCGGACACGTGAACAGTTCATGCCGTCAAAATGCCTTGCGGAACAGCGCGGCGGCGGTGTGCGTCACATCACACGTCTGGGCCCGGCCCGGCGCGTGGTCTGGAAAGTAACCACGATAGCCGAACCACCAGTGCACCAGCCCAGCGCGGACACAACAGACGAGCGGCGGGGACTCATTAGCAGTTCCAGGCTCGGTGGCCGGCGTACTGCAGCTGGGTGCGGGGGACCGGTCGATACAGGCCGCTCCGCACACAACGTCCAGTGCCCAAAGAACACCGCGACACGACGGGGCGGGACGGGACGGGATAAGACGGGACGGGACGGACGGGACGGACGGGACGGGACGGGACGGGACGGGACGGGACGGGATGGGATGAGACGGGACGGGATGAGACGGGACGGGATGAGACGGGACGGGATGAGACGGGACGGAAAGAGACGGGACGGGATGAGACGGGACGGGACGAGGCGGGACGGGACGAGGCGGAACGTGACAGGACAGGACGGGATGCGACGGGATGCGACGGGATGCGACGGGATGCGACGGGACGGAACGGGACGGGATGAGACGGGACGGAGGCGGGACGGGACGAGGCGGGACAGGACGCGACGGGACGGGACGCAACGGAAAGCGACGGGACGGGACGGAACGGGACGCGACGGGAGGCGGAGCGGAAGTCCAGCCTCATTGGGGGAGAGAGCGGCGGCGGACTCGACCCCACGCCGGCGGAGTCACATGACCGACACCGCCCAGGCGGCCGACTGTGGGACGGGACTGGCTGACAGTCGGCGGCGCGGTGAGTGGACGGCAACAGCTCCGTGTCTCGCCTGCTACGAGTTCTCCGAGAACTTGTATCTGAAAAATAACAATCCAGGTTAGGGTCCGGCACGGAACGGTAGCATATCTCGCTAAATGTATGCTATACGACCTGGAGAAACGAGCAAGGCTTGGGAGTGAGGCAAAAGGAGCGGCGACAATACCGCCAGCAAAGACAACAAAAAACAGCTAGTGGTGTGTTTATGTGCCCATTCCACTAACTTGCTTCCAGAACATAGCACGCTTACTGCGATCATGCTTTCCCTCTGATCAACTAGCGTATCTGCGTATCAAAGATATTCCTTCACCTGCTGGCATTCAGAACGCACAGTAGTTACACCGTGCACGCTTTCCATCTGGCTGACAGACACCTTTACCCATTAAAGGAGTCCGCTCTCTCTGCTGGCCTTCAGAACGCATCGCATTTGCGCCGCACGACTTCCATTGCGCCAACAGACGCGGCCTGAGGCCGTTCGCGTAATTGGTTCGCGTGTTTGACCACGGCCAAGGTCTCGCTAACAGGACCCAACGTTGGCTGTCGGACACGAGTGATTACCAATGGCGGCGGGCGCGCCGCATCCGCCAAGCGCCAGATTGTGAACATAAGCTGTTGAGGTCCGGCATTTTATATCACTCGCACAAAATGGATACACCTGCTGAAAATCTGTACCCCAAAAGCACCATTCCCAAGTTATTTGGTACCTTTCACCGATGCGTACGCTACTGATGAACATGATATATTTCGTTTGGCTAGGTGTTTTCCCATCAGGACCTTAAATTCTTCAGGCCTCTTGAGCTGGTTTCTGGGGAGAACATTCTGGAGCTCAAATCATCACAATAACCTAAGGGGGGGGGGGGGGGCGGCTACCACCGATGGTACCTCTATTGTAGCAGCGCTTTGGTCTATGACGTCATGGAAGTAAACAACTAAAAAGTTAATATTTTAGGTGTCCTAAATGGAAGGAGTTGCAAAATCTTTCTACCATGAGATTTCCGATCGTATCATAAATAGAAACGTTACCTTTTACCTCGCCAAATCCCTTCAAGGAGACGAGGACATATTTTCGCAAATTTTTACCACATTCATGTAAGCAAAATTCTTTCACCTCATTCGTTCCACGCAAACTCCTCAAAATTGAATGCAAGTGAAAATTTTAGTAGTTTCCCAGTCAATATCAACACACGCGCATAATATCAACCAGGCTGTGGTACGGGAATATAACAATGGCAGATATTAATTTGACATAAGCACAGACCTTGTTTTCCATTTTGAGATTTCGGACTCAATTGATGTCCGCCTCATCGTCTTTGTTTATATGATGGCGGTGGCAAATCCTTCCCATAGCAGTGCCTTCACGTCGATTGGGGCGGGGTACGCCCGAAACGCAACCGAAAGTAAACATCAATATCGAGCTCACGGCTAAAGGCTGCCGGTTACACGTTAAATCATCCAGGATGTGTTATGCGTCACGCAGTTGGAATATATTTACCACGGGCGTTGGCTGAATTTCGCATTTTGGGAAGCCACAACTAAAAAAACTCACTGAAAAAGCGAGGGCGCGAAATTTTTGGACTGTCATAAGACATCACTGCAGGCTCCCGTCCCTGATCTTCTTTTTTTGCATCTACCTGAAATTTTTAACTGCCAACACTTCAGGACGTACATATTATTACATGCTATACCTTTGGTAACGCGGACGAGGGTGGGGGGGGGGGGGGACATCGGGCGCTTTGTGCGCAAGCCCCTGAAATTTTCCATTCCTTTGTAAAATGCATCGTGACACCTTTTCAATACATAAAAAGATAAAGTACGAGAAGTTCTGAAAGAGAGTTCCAGTATCCATGTTGTCATTACCTGTATTCCATATATTTCCCATACCTTTATAAAATATACAGTGGTGTCTTTTCAATAATCAAAAGATCACGCCCGAGAAGTTCCGAGAGATAATTCCAGTATCCATGTTGTTATTACTTGCATTTATCACGGCAAAAATAATTGGCCTGGTGACACTAATCTCCATTTGAAGTCAGATTCACAGAGGATGTTCAAAGTGGCCGCCATGTCAGCGCTGGCAGACACTAATCTCGCGCTGAGAACTGGGGTACGGACAACCCTAGCACAAGTTGCGACGCCATTTCATGGGCTAGCTGAATTGCAACCTTCAACTCCTCTACGTTTTCTGGTTTCCAGCATAGACTCTATCTCTTAGAAAGCCATAGAGGAAAAAATATCGTGGTCAGATCCGGTGCGTGCAGAATCCATTTATTGGCCTTTTTCAGATATCTGCTGCGGCCCAGTGGCTCTTCAGTGAGCTTTTCCTCGCAGCGTGCGTGGCAGCAGCCTCCAGGGAAGCCCTCACCGAAACTTCTACAGGACGATTCCATGTTTTGCTGTTACAGGTCGTGTTACAGCGGCGCTTCCTATTACGACAGTCGTTTCACTACGCTAGTATTTGACCCAGAATTGAACAGCGATTCCACTGCTGCTAATGGCAACACACGTAGGGCATATGCGACCGTACAGTAGTCTTAAAAAAAAACATTTGTCAGGTTAAGTGGTTCCCCAGAAGATGCAGTTCCTCCGATCGACGTGTCTGAGAGAGAAATGTGCATCGTTATAAAATCAAACGCTCCTGACGATGTCCGACTTCGTTCCCATATCCCCTTGAAGCTTCTGCACGTGGCTGAGAGTGGCCACCCGTCTCTTCCGCTCCGCACCCATCAGCACATGGCCAGCCGTCTCTTCCGCTCCGTACCCGTCAGCACATGGCCAGCCGTCTCTTCCGCTCAGTACCCATCAGCACATGGCCACCCGTCTCTTGCGCTCCGTACCCGTCAACACATGGCCACCCGTCTCTTCCGCTCCGTACCCGTCAGCACATGGCCGGCCGTCTCTTCCGCTCCGTACTCGTCAGCACATGGCCACCCGTCTCTTCCGCTCGGTACTCGTCAGCACATGGCCACCCGTCTCTTCCGCTCCGTACCCGTCAGCACATGGCCAGCCGTCTCTTCCGCTCCGTACCCGTCAGCACATGGCCAGCCGTCTCTTCCGCTCCGTACCCGTCAGCACATGGCCACCCGTCTCTTCCGCTCAGTACTCTTCAGCACATGGCCACCCGTCTCTTGCGCTCCGTACCCGTCAGCACACGGCCACCCGTCTCTTCCGCTCCGTACTCGTCAGCACATGGCCAGCCGTCTCTTCCGTTCCGTACCCGTCAGCACATGGCCACCCGTCTCTTCCGCTCCGTACTCGTCAGCACATGGCCACCCGTCTCTTCCACCCCGCACCCGTCAGCTTGCCCTCGACCTGTCTTCTGTGCAGACACCGAGATGCTCTCACACCATTGCGGTCGGCGTGGTCCTCCTTATTCCAATTGCCTGAGACGTGTGTCTGGGCAACCGCTGTAGAGCGTCGCCACTACACCACGGACACGCCGGCTACTTCACGGTTCTCATCTGTTCGACAGAATTTGGGACGACTGGACCGCGGCCCTTCTCTCACTTATCCCTGTGTCCAACTGTGTTATCCCTGTATCCCTGTGTCAAGCGCACTCCAGATCGCTGGATTACACGATGCTCTTCAACGCGAAACTCTTGTTTGAAACCACGTCACACAAAGTTTGAACGAACGGCGCTCGAAGTAAAGCCCCTGCGCAGAACCGCCTTTGCTTTACGAACCAATTCGGGCTCCTACGACATGGTGGCCTACAGCTTGAACTTTACGCGATGGGCATGAATGAGGCGGCTTGGAAGAATGTAGGCATAAATTGTTCCACATGCAGTGTGAGGTTTTCATTTAAGACATTTTGGGCTGAGTGACTTTTTGGACGGGTGGCACAAAGCCCCCGATCACCATAGTTTCTACATCCAGCAGCGACGCAGCCAGTTCTCTACACGTTGAACTCCTGCTCTACGTTGTGATCGGTTCAATATCGCCGAGTGAGCATGCCTAAAAATCAGTGTTGTGAAATGACAAAAAGCGTTTGTCGATTCGTGTCTGATGCCAGAAAGAGCAGAAAAGAGCCGAGAGGCTTTTTATAGGCGCAATAACTCGCGCCTATATCAGGGCTCGACCAGGAACAGTGTCAAACGAGCCAAGATACGAGTCATGAGGCATCAAGACGTGCCATCGCACCGCGAGCGAGGAACCGAATAGCTACCAAACCATTCTTCTGAAAATGCCGTTTTAACCACACTCGTATGTCTTCTTGGCTGTGACGTTCACAACCTTCCTGCAATGTGTCTCGTAGTCTCATACACCACTTAATAGCATCGGGGAGTGTATTCACAGAAGCCGTGCCCCGTACTTCTGCAATGTTGACATGTTTGACTACAAACCGAGTCGTGACTTTACGGCGCTTGAAAACGAGCCTTGAAACCGCCCATATTTATGAGATGTTTGATGAATACTACCTTGTTTCACACCTGGGCTAAATACGAACAAATGAATCGATAACCTAGTTGACGCTTCGGATAAGAGCTTCGACAAGCACTGAAAACGATGCGATACAAGACGACACTACCACTCTCGCTATATTGAAATTTATTTGGTGCCCGATTGTAAATCATATTTTTCCGCAACTTCAAAGCAAGCCCATTTTCATGCTGGAAAACTGAATTTTGAAAGTCTCCAAGCCGTCAGGTGACGGTGGGCGTCGCTGTGCGGATGGCCTGTCTGAGCAATATGTCACAGCGCGGCATCAACCGTGCCTTACCGTATGGCACTGAACGTCACATAAAGGACTTGCCCCCCCCCCCCCTCTCCGCTAACTTGGCCACTCCCATCATAGTAAATGGAGCGAAGCTTACTAGAAAGCCATTATAAAGTTCTACACGTGCAAGGCTGCGTCCGCTCCTCATTCATACGGAAGTTTCCTTTCGCCAGCATTATACTTCATATCTGCGCCTTATATCACCGTGCGCCGTAATATTTTTGAAAAGCGTTGATTTGAACCCGGAATCTAAGAGACGTTAGTTTTGACAAACTATCAAAGGATACACCGAGGAAAGTGTGGCGTCTGCGTTCACGTAACCAACTT